CAGAGACCTATTGACTCACATAGAGACCCACAGACTCTCACAGAGTTCCATAGAATCACACAGAGACCCACAGACTCATACAGAGACCCATTGACTCACATAGAGACCCATAGACTCACAAAGAGACCCACAGACTCTCACAGAGTTCCATAGAATCGCACAGAGACCCACAGACTCACACAGAGACCCATTGACTCACATAGAGACCCATAGACTCACACAGAGACCCACAGACTCACAGAGACCCACAGACTCACACAGATACCTATGGACTCACATAGAGACCCATAGACTCACATAGAGACCAATAGACTGACACAGAGACCCACAGACTCACACAGAGACCTATGGACTCACACAGAGACCCACAGACTCACACAGAGACCCACAGACTCACACAGAGATCCATAGACTTGTAATATGAGGATATATCCGGTTCACTGACGTATCACAACTCGTCATGGTGATTGGCTCTGCCGGTCCTGGTTTACAGCCAATGGGGGGAAGCCTAGGGGCATGGCCCTGACGTGATGGAGAGGTGACAGCTGTAAGGATTGGTTCTGCTGGCTTTGGCCACAGCCAATGGGGAGACGAGTCAGGGGCGTGGTCCCGGGAGATGACGAGGGAGCCTCGAAGATTCCATGCAGGCTAACGAGGATTGGCGGAAACGTACCACGTGACCCGGGTATTAAATAGGGGTGGAGACGAACGACACGTGGTCAGAACGGGAACGAACAGAGGGGGGAGGCCACCCGGGAGCTGAGCTCCGAGTTGCCACGTGGCAGTGCGTTTCTCTCTCTATATCTGTCCCTCTCATGCTGCCTATCAGCAGCGTGAAGTAAACTGTAAGATAAGTTGAATAAAAGACGAATTTCAGAAGTCGCCTCAACGAGCTTTATTACAGACTCACACCGTGACCCACAGACTCACACAGAGAGACCCATAGACTCATACAGAGACCCGCAGACTCACACAGAAACCCACAGACTCATCACACAGAGACCCACAGACTCATCACAGAGAGACCCATAGACTCACACAGATACCCACAGACTCATCACAGAGAGACCCATAGACTCACACAGAGACCCACAGACTCTCACAGAGACCCACAGGCGCTCACAGAGACCCACAGCCTCACACAGAGACCCACAGACTCTCACAGAGACCCACAGACTCATCACACAAAGACCCATAGACTTACATAGAGACCCACAGACCCACACAGAGAACCACAGACTCTCACAGAGATCCACAGACTCTCACAGAGACCCACAGACTCACACAGAGACCCACAGACTCACACAGAGACCCACAGACTCACAAAGAGACCCACAGACTCACAAAGAGACCCACAGACTCACACAGAGACCCGCAGACTCACACAGAGACCCACAGACTCACACAGAGACCCGCAGACTCACACAGAGACCCACAGACTCATCACACAGAGAGACCCATAGACTCACACAGAGACCCGCAGACTCACACAGAAACCCACAGACTCATCACACAGAGACCCACAGACTCATCACAGAGTGAGCCCATACACTCACACAGAGACCCACAGACTCCCACAGAGACCCACAGACTAACATAGAGACCCACAGACTCACACAGAGACCCACAGACTCACACAGAGACCCACAGACTCACACAGAGACCCACAGACTCACATAGAGACCCACAGACTCACACAGAGACCCACAGACTCACACAGAGACCCACAGACCCACACAGAGACCCACAGAGACCCACAGACTCACACAGAGACCCACAGACTCTCACAGAGACCCACAGACTCACACAGAGACCCACAGATTCACACAGAGACCCTTAGACTCACACAGAGACCCACAGACTCACACAGAGACACACAGACTCACATAGAGTCCCACAGACTCTCACAGAGACCCACAGATTTACACAGAGACCCACAGACTCACACAGAGACCCATAGACTCAGTAGAGACCCATAGACTCACATAGAGACCCATAGACTCACATAGAGACCCATAGACTGACACAGAGACCCACAGACTCACACAGAGACACACAGACTCACATAGAGTCCCACAGACTCTCACAGAGACCCACAGACTCACACAGAGACTGGTTTGCAATTCAACCAGCTTCCTGGCAACCCGCTACTAATTTGAGGCTGAGTCGACCTAGGGGAGGAGGCCTCAGATGACGATCGCTCCACGTGGTTCGTGGTGGTGGCCGTGGTATATTTTTTACACGCTTTTGATTAACTCACTCTGTCTGTTGTTGTATCCTCAAATCTTGTAACTCAATTCTAACCCACTTCCCAATGTGGTATCGACTGCAAACTTGGTACACTTATGTCATATCGATGGCAATACTATATTCTATCATAAAAAATAAATATATTTTTTCAAATATTCTTTTTATATGTTATGTTTCGGCTTGGCTCTAATTGTCCACGCTCAACTCACGTTCACTGTAATTGCCCTTACGTTATGGCAAGCTTCGTGGCCACTTCCTGGAGTCGTGGAGTTCCACCATTACTCGTACATTTCATAAAAGCGTCTTTTAAAAAAGTGTTTTAAATGTCACTTATTTTCCGGGTTCCTGCTACGCAGACACAAAAGCGGCAGTGCGCTCACCGCTGCACCACCGCTCCTCGTGAGAGGGTGGGGGCGGAAGGGGTGTGAGCGGGGAGGGGGTCCACTATACAATGGGCGTGCAAAAATTTGCATAAAGATAATTTGCATAACGTGTCAGCCAATCACGGGCGCCGCTGCTATATTTAGACCCCCTATATAACCCACACCCCCCTCCTCTACCCTCCCTCACGCTCGCGCCTCGCGCAGCCGCATGCCACGTGACCTGTGCAGCGGCACGCGAGTTCGAATCCCGCTCGGAGGACATTAAACATATTTATTATTTAATATTTATTTGATGGTGATGTCTCTACCGCGTCTCTCAGTGTCACCACCACCAGCAGTGGATAGACCCTGGTGGTGGTGGTGACACGATGGTGATGTCTACCGCGTCTCTCAGTGTCACCACCACCAGCAGTGGATAGACCCTGGTGGTGGTGGTGGTGACACGATGGTGATGTCTCTACCGCGTCTCTCAGTGTCACCACCACCAGGGTCTGTCCACTGCTGGATGGGACATCAGTGTGACGGTGATGCACTCTGGCTCTACAAATAACACCACCACCACCGATTCAACACGAAGAAGGACCATTGCCTGAAACGTCGAATGCCCGAATGCTCTGAGCGGTATTTTTGTTTAAAGGTTATAGTGTAACTAGCAATTGTGCGTTTTATTGGCGTATTTTGGGGAATTTATAGACTTTGGGGAGTCGTAAATAGAAGCATAGGAACTTTGAACTTTGAACTTTGGAACCCAGGACATGGCTGACCGTCATAATCCAGCACCTCCGACGTCTGGCCACGGGATGTTTTACTTTCACGTGAATTGTCCATCGCAGGCACGAGATGATGAGGCCCCTGAGTGCAGTCCAGACCTTCCGAGGTGATGAATTAGCCACGAAAAACTGTCCCCGCACCGTGGCAACCCACACGGCGCAACCCCGTAGGGTTGAAGTTGTTTGACTTGCATCCCACTGGGATGTGTGCAACGCGGCGGTGAGATGCGGTGCTTTCTCTGGAAGACGTTGCTGTGTTTTCCTGGATTTTTCTGTGCGCGCATAGTCACTTTTTGTTCAAGAACTTCATAAATGAAGCTGAAACTGAACTGTATTCTTCTTGTTCAGGGAAGTTAGAGTTTTCAGGTCCGTACGGCGGTCAAGACCTTCCGATGCGGGAGGCATAAAATAAATTGTCGATTTGTTTGTGTTTCTCTACTTATTATGGGACTCTGTCGCGTGAACTTTGAGATTCGTGAGGGGCACGGAGTGACCAATGAGCTCTGAATTGGTCTGTAATAAAGTAGGGCACTGATAAGGGGTTGACAGCCATGTTGAAGTCTCTACCCATAGACCCAATGTCAAAGTCTCCCATAGACTCCAATGTTGAAGTCTCCCATAGACTTCAATGTTAAAGTCTCCCATAGACTCCAATGTTGAAGTCTCCCATTAACTGCAATGTCAAAGTCTCTACCCATAGACTCCAATGTTGAAGTCTCCCATAGACTCCAATGTTAAAGTCTCCCATAGACTCCAATGTTAAAGTCTCCCATAGACTCCAATGTTGAAGTCTCCCATTAACTGCAATGTTGAAGTCTCTACCCATAGACTCCAATGTTAAAGTCTCCCATAGACTCCAATGTTAAAGTCTCCCATAGACTTCAATGTTAAAGTCTCCCATAGACTCCAATGTTAAAGTCTCCCATAGACCCCAATGTTAAAGTCTCCCATAGACTCCAATGTTGAAGTCTCCCATAGACTCCAATGTTAAAGTCTCCCATAGACTCCAATGTTAAAGTCTCCCATAGACTCCAATGTTGAAGTCTCCCATAGACCTCAATGTCAAAGTCTCCCATAGACCCCAATGTTAAAGTCTCCCATAGACTTCAATGTTAAAGTCTCCCATAGACTCCAATGTTAAAGTCTCCCATAGACTTCAATGTTAAAGTCTCCCATAGACTCAAATGTTAAAGTCTCCCATAGACTCCAATGTTAAAGTCTCCCATAGACTCCAATGTTAAAGTCTCCCATAGACTCCAATGTTGAAGTCTCCCATAGACTTCAATGTCAAAGTCTCCCATTAACTCCAATGTTGAAGTCTCCCATAGACTCCAATGTAACAAAATGTAGTTCTTGTCTACGTGTTTGTGTTTCTCTCCTCGTGATGGGACTTGATTAATTTGTCACAAAACGAACAATTTACTCATCAATTTGTGATGTTTTTTCCACAATTCCACCCCCCACCCACCCACCCATTGCAATGCATTGGCGGCACTACTTTCATCGCGGAGGGCGGCGGAAGGTTTGAGGGCGCGCGCGCGCGCTCGCCAGCGGACGCATCACCGCCCGCTGCTCCGCCCAACTTCAGAAACTATTTTCTTTAAAGGTTCTAAACACCGCGGGGCCAGTCGCGGTCAAGTTTCGCCGGCGTCTTCCCGTCGATAATTGTCGGATTTTAAACAAAAAAAACACCACGAAAATATTCCGTTGCCGGCTTCGTTCCCGCATCGACAGTCGCCTCGCGTTAATTTGCTTTTTTTTAAATATTCGCGGATTTATTTTAATCACCACCCTCGTCTCTCCAGCTCCCTTACGGCCTAGTTAACCCGGCGGGGAAAGCCTGCGCCTAGCCCCACCGGAAAAATAGGCGAGGCCGCTATCTTCCTTCGGGGTGGGGGTCCCGTCATAAAAAAAAAAAACCATTAAGTTAACAACAAGAACGGGGATATGGCGCTGCTGGCGAAAGCACTGAACGTGCAGGTGAGTGCTGTGTGCGCGCCTTTAATCGCTGTCGTTTTAATCCGTTACAATTTAGTTTAATTTAATAGTCGTGGAGTTCGGGTCGTTGGATTTCGGACTTCCGGGTTTTCCCCGCCACCCCCCGAGATTCCGGCTCCGGGAGTCGGAGCTCGTTGGGGTTGGCGCCTCCCGCGACAAATCCCGGAACGGATTCCCGTGAAGTGGATTCTTGGACAACATTTAAATTCTATGTTTCGTATTATCCGCAGTAGTGTGCTTTGAGAACTTAACAGGCGCCAATGTGTCTCCTTGCGAGATTCCCGGCTCTTCTCACGAACAGACGTGTATTTTACACATCGCATCAGCCTTCCACCAGCATTGGTTCAACACAACACTTCTCATCAGCAGCAGTCGGGCTGAGATTGAACCAATGTGGTGGTGGTGGTTGTGGTGGTGGTTGAACACAGGGTGGTGGTGGTGGTTGTGGTGGTGGTTGAACACAGGGTGGTGGTGGTGGTGGTGGTTGAACACAGGGTGGTGGTGGTGGTTGTGGTGGTGGTTGAACACAGTGTGGTGGTGGTGGTTGTTGAACACAGTGTGGTGGTTGTTGTTGAACACAGTGTGGTGGTGGTGGTTGTTGAACACAGTGTGGTGGTGGTGGTTGTTGAACACAGTGTGGTGGTGGTTGTTGTTGAACACAGTGTGGTGGTGGTTGTTGTTGAACCCAGTGTGGTGGTGGTGGTGGTTGTTGAACAGTGTGGTGGTGGTGGTTGTTGTTGAACCCAGTGTGGTGGTGGTGGTTGTTGTTGAACACAGTGTGGTGGTGGTTGTTGTTGAACACAGTGTGGTGGTGGTGGTGGTTGTTGAACAGTGTGGTGGTGGTGGTTGTTGTTGAACCCAGTGTGGTGGTGGTGGTGGTTGTTGAACACAGTGTGGTGGTGGTTGTTGAACACAGTGTGGTGGTGGTGGTGGTGGTTGTTGAACACAGTGTGGTGGTTGTTGTTGAACACAGTGTGGTGGTGGTGGTGGTAGATGTTGAACACAGTGTGGTGGTGGTGGTGGTTGAACACAGTGTGGTGGTGGTGGTTGTTGTTGAACACAGTGTGGTGGTGGTGGTTGTTGTTGAACACAGTGTGGTGGTGGTGGTTGTTGTTGAACACAGTGTGGTGGTGGTGGTGGTTGTTGAACACAGTGTGGTGGTGGTGGTAGATGTTGAACACAGTGTGGTGGGGGTGGTTGTTGTTGAACACAGTGTGGTGGTGGTGGTGGTTGTTGAACACAGTGTGGTGGTGGTGGTAGATGTTGAACACAGTGTGGTGGTGGTGGTTGTTGAACACAGTGTGGTGGTGGTGGTTGTTGTTGAACACAGTGTGGTGGTGGTGGTGGTTGTTGAACACAGTGTGGTGGTGGTGGTAGATGTTGAACACAGTGTGGTGGGGGTGGTTGTTGAACACAGTGTGGTGGTGGTGGTAGATGTTGAACACAGTGTGGTGGTGGTTGTTGTTGAACACAGTGTGGTGGTGGTGGTTGTTGTTGAACACAGTGTGGTGGTGGTGGTGGTTGTTGAACACAGTGTGGTGGTGGTGGTAGATGTTGAACACAGTGTGGTGGTGGTGGTTGTTGAACACAGTGTGGTGGTGGTGGTAGATGTTGAACACAGTGTGGTGGTGGTGGTTGTTGTTGAACACAGTGTGGTGGTGGCGGTTGTTGTTGAACACAGTGTGGTGGTGGTGGTAGATGTTGAACACAGTGTGGTGGTGGTGGTTGTTGTTGAACACAGTGTGGTGGTGGTGGTTGTTGTTGAACACAGTGTGGTGGTGGCGGTTGTTGTTGAACACAGTGTGGTGGTGGCGGTTGTTGTTGAACACAGTGTGGTGGTGGCGGTTGTTGTTGAACACAGTGTGGTGGTGGTGGTTGTTGTTGAACACAGTGTGGTGGTGGCGGTTGTTGTTGAACACAGTGTGGTGGTGGCGGTTGTTGTTGAACACAGTGTGGTGGTGGCGGTTGTTGTTGAACACAGTGTGGTGGTGGCGGTTGTTGTTGAACACAGTGTGGTGGTGGCGGTTGTTGTTGAACACAGTGTGGTGGTGGTGGTTGTTGTTGAACACAGTGTGGTGGTGGTGGTTGTTGTTGAACACAGTGTGGTGGTGGTGGTTGTTGTTGAACACAGTGTGGTGGTGGCGGTTGTTGTTGAACACAGTGTGGTGGTGGTGGTAGATGTTGAACACAGTGTGGTGGTGGTGGTTGTTGTTGAACACAGTGTGGTGGTGGTGGTTGTTGAACACAGTGTGGTGGTGGCGGTTGTTGTTGAACACAGTGTGGTGGTGGTGGTTGTTGTTGAACACAGTGTGGTGGTGGCGGTTGTTGTTGAACACAGTGTGGTGGTGGTGGTTGTTGTTGAACACAGTGTGGTGGTGGTGGTGGTTGTCGAACACAGTGTGGTGGTGGTGGTTGTTGTTGAACACAGTGTGGTGGTGGTGGTTGTTGTTGAACACAGTGTGGTGGTGGCGGTTGTTGTCGAACACAGTGTGGTGGTGGCGGTTGTTGTTGAACACAGTGTGGTGGTGGTTGTTGAACACAGTGTGGTGGTGGTGGTTGTTGAACACAGTGTGGTGGTGGCGGTTGTTGTTGAACACAGTGTGGTGGTGGTTGTTGAACACAGTGTGGTGGTGGTGGTTGTTGAACACAGTGTGGTGGTGGTGTTGAACACAGTGTGTGGTGGTGGTTGTTGAACACAGTGTGGTGGTGGTGGTTGTTGTTGAACACAGTGTGGTGGTGGTGGTTGTTGAACACAGTGTGGTGGTGGTGGTTGTCGAACACAGTGTGGTGGTGGTGGTGGTTGTTGAACACAGTGTGGTGGTGGCGGTTGTTGTTGAACACAGTGTGGTGGTGGTTGTTGAACACAGTGTGGTGGTGGTGGTTGTTGAACACAGTGTGGTGGTGGTGGTGGTTGTTGAACACAGTGTGGTGGTGGTGGTGGTTGTTGTTGAACACAGTGTGGTGGTGGTGGTTGTTGAACACAGTGTGGTGGTGGTGGTTGTTGAACACAGTGTGGTGGTGGTGGTTGTTGAACACAGTGTGGTGGTGGTGGTGGTTGTTGAACACAGTGTGGTGGTGGTGGTGGTTGTTGTTGAACACAGTGTGGTGGTGGTGGTGGTTGTTGAACACAGTGTGGTGGTGGTGGTGGTTGTTGAACACAGTGTGGTGGTGTTGTTGTTGAACACAGTGTGGTGGTGGTTGTTGAACACAGTGTGATGGTGGTTGTTGTTGTTGAACACATTTTGGTGGTGGTGGTGGTTGTTGAACACAGTGTGGTGGTGGTGGTTGTTGAACACAGTGTGGTGGTGGTGGTTGTTGAACACAGTGTGGTGGTGGTGGTTGTTGAACACAGTGTGGTGGTGGTTGTTGTTGAACACAGTGTGGTGGTGGTTGTTGTTGAACACAGTGTGGTGGTGGTTGTTGTTGAACACAGTGTGGTGGTAGTGGTGGTTGTTGAACACAGTGTGGTGGTGGTGGTTGTTGAACACAGTGTGGTGGTGGTGGTTGTTGAACACAGTGTGGTGGTGGTTGTTGTTGAACACAGTGTGGTGGTGGTTGTTGTTGAACACAGTGTGGTGGTGGTGGTGGTTGTTGAACACAGTGTGGTGGTGGTGGTTGTTGAACACTGTGTGGTGGTGGTTGTTGTTGAACACAGTGTGGTGGTTGTTGTTGAACACAGTGTGGTGGTTGTTGTTGAACACAGTGTGGTGGTGGTTGTTGAACACAGTGTGGTGGTGGTGGTGGTTGTTGAACACAGTGTGGTGGTGGTGGTGGTTGTTGAACAGTGTGGTGGTGGTGGTTGTTGAACACAGTGTGGTGGTGGTGGTTGTTGAACACTGTGGTGGTGGTTGTTGAACACAGTGTGGTGGTGGTGGTGGTTGTTGAACACAGTGTGGTGGTGGTGGTTGTTGAACAGTGTGGTGGTGGTGGTTGTTGAACACAGTGTGGTGGTGGTGGTTGTTGAACACTGTGGTGGTGGTTGTTGAACACAGTGTGGTGGTGGTGGTGGTTGTTGAACACAGTGTGGTGGTGGTGGTGGTTGTTGAACAGTGTGGTGGTGGTGGTTGTTGTTGAACACAGTGTGGTGGTGGTGGTGGTTGTTGAACACAGTGTGGTGGTGGTGGTTGTTGAACACAGTGTGGTGGTGGTGGTGGTTGTTGAACACAGTGTGGTGGTGGTTGTTGTTGAACACAGTGTGGTGGTGGTTGTTGTTGAACACAGTGTGGTGGTGGTTGTTGTTGAACACAGTATGGTGGTGGTGGTGGTTGTTGAACACAGTGTGGTGGTGGTTGTTGTTGAACACAGTGTGGTGGTGGTGGTGGTGGTTGTTGAACACAGTGTGGTGGTGGTGGTTGAACACAGTGTGGTGGTGGTGGTGGTTGTTGTTGAACACAGTGTGGTGGTGGTGGTTGTTGTTGAACACAGTGTGGTGGTGGTGGTGGTGATTGAACACAGTGTGGTGGTGGTGGTGGTTGAACACAGTGTGGTGGTGGTGGTTGAAAACAGTGTGGTGGTTGTTGTATTGTTGTGGTGTCTTTGTTGGGTGTCATTGTTGTGTTGTTGTTGTTTATTCGCAGAGGACCAAGGCAGACCCAGAGGAGTTGTTCACCAAGCAGGAGAGGATTGGCAAGGGCTCGTTTGGGAAGGTGTTCAAGGGCATCAACAATCACACGAAGGAGGCAAGGCGTCGTCATCACCATCATTGTGCTTGTGGTCACGCACGACGCCATCGTCACGGACAGTGTCATTGTCATCATCACACACAGTGTCATTGTCATCATCACACGCAGTGTCATTGTCATCATCACACACAGTGTCATTGTCATCATCACACACAGTGTCATTGTCATCATCACACGCAGTGTCATTGTCATCATCACACACAGTGTCATTGTCATCATCACACACAGTGTCATTGTCATCATCACACACAGTGTCATTGTCATCATCACACGCAGTGTCATTGTCATCATCACACGCAGTGTCATTGTCATCATCACACGCAGTGTCATTGTCATCATCACACACAGTGTCATTGTCATCATCACACACAGTGTCATTGTCATCATCACACACAGTGTCATTGTCATCATCACACGCAGTGTCATTGTCATCATCACACACAGTGTCATTGTCATCATCACACGCAGTGTCATTGTCATCATCACACACAGTGTTATTGTCATCATCACACACAGTGTCATTGTCATCATCACACGCAGTGTCATTGTCATCATCACACACAGTGTCATTGTCATCATCACACGCAGTGTCATTGTCATCATCACACGCAGTGTCATTGTCATCATCACACACAGTGTCATTGTCATCATCACACGCAGTGTCATTGTCATCATCACACGCAGTGTCATTGTCATCATCACACACAGTGTCATTGTCATCATCACACGCAGTGTCATTGTCATCATCACACACAGTGTCATTGTCATCATCACACACAGTATCATTGTCATCATCACACGCAGTGTCATTGTCATCATCACACACAGTGTCATTGTCATCATCACACACAGTATCATTGTCATCATCACACACAGTGTCATTGTCATCATCACACGCAGTGTCATTGTCATCATCACACACAGTGTCATTGTCATCATCACACGCAGTGTCATTGTCATCATCACACACAGTGTCATTGTCATCATCACACATAGTGTCATTGTCATCATCACACAGTGTCATTGTCATCATCACACGCAGTGTCATTGTCATCATCACACACAGTGTCATTGTCATCATCACACACAGTGTCATTGTCATCATCACACACAGTGTCATTGTCATCATCACACGCAGTGTCATTGTCATCATCACACACAGTGTCATTGTCATCATCACACACAGTGTCATTGTCATCATCACACACAGTGTCATTGTCATCATCACACACAGTGTCATTGTCATCATCACACGCAGTGTCATTGTCATCATCACACACAGTGTCATTGTCATCATCACACACAGTGTCATTGTCATCATCACACACAGTGTCATTGTCATCATCACAGGCAGTGTCATTGTCATCATCACACACAGTGTCATTGTCATCATCACACACAGTGTCATTGTCATCATCACACGCAGTGTCATTGTCATCATCACACACAGTGTCATTGTCATCATCACACACAGTGTCATTGTCATCATCACACACAGTGTCATTGTCATCATCACACACAGTGTCATTGTCATCATCACACGCAGTGTCATTGTCATCATCACACACAGTGTCATTGTCATCATCACACACAGTGTCATTGTCATCATCACACACAGTGTCATTGTCATCATCACACACAGTGTCATTGTCATCATCACACACAGTGTCATTGTCATCATCACACACAGTGTCATTGTCATCATCACACACAGTGTTATTGTCATCATCACACGCAGTGTCATTGTCATCATCACACGCAGTGTCATTGTCATCATCACACACAGTGTCATTGTCATCATCACACACAGTGTCATTGTCATCATCACACACAGTGTCATTGTCATCATCACACACAGTGTCATTGTCATCATCACACACAGTGTTATTGTCATCATCACACGCAGTGTCATTGTCATCATCACACACAGTGTCATTGTCATCATCACACACAGTGTCATTGTCATCATCACACACAGTGTCATTGTCATCATCACACACAGTGTCATTGTCATCATCACACACAGTGTCATTGTCATCATCACACACAGTGTCATTGTCATCATCACACACAGTGTCATTGTCATCATCACACACAGTATCATTGTCATCATCACACACAGTGTCATTGTCATCATCACACACAGTGTCATTGTCATCATCACACACAGTGTCATTGTCATCATCACACACAGTGTCATTGTCATCATCACACGCAGTGTCATTGTCATCATCACACACAGTGTCATTGTCATCATCACACACAGTGTCATTGTCATCATCACACACAGTGTCATTGTCATCATCACACACAGTGTCATTGTCATCATCACACACAGTGTCATTGTCATCATCACACGCAGTGTCATTGTCATCATCACACACAGTGTCATTGTCATCATCACACACAGTGTCATTGTCATCATCACACACAGTGTCATTGTCATCATCACACACAGTGTCATTGTCATCATCACACACAGTGTCATTGTCATCATCACACGCAGTGTCATTGTCATCATCACACACAGTGTCATTGTCATCATCACACACAGTGTCATTGTCATCATCACACACAGTGTCATTGTCATCATCACACACAGTATCATTGTCATCATCACACACAGTGTCATTGTCATCATCACACGCAGTGTCATTGTCATCATCACACACAGTGTCATTGTCATCATCACACACAGTGTCATTGTCATCATCACACACAGTGTCATTGTCATCATCACACACAGTGTCATTGTCATCATCACACACAGTGTCATTGTCATCATCACACGCAGTGTCATTGTCACCATCACACGCAGTGTCATTGTCATCATCACACACAGTGTCATTGTCATCATCACACACAGTGTCATTGTCATCATCACACACAGTGTCATTGTCATCATCACACGCAGTGTCATTGTCATCATCACACACAGTGTCATTGTCATCATCACACGCAGTGTCATTGTCATCATCACACGCAGTGTCATTGTCATCATCACACACAGTGTCATTGTCATCATCACACGCAGTGTCATTGTCATCATCGCACGCAGTGTCATTGTCATCATCACACGCAGTGTCATTGTCATCATCACACACAGTGTCATTGTCATCATCACACGCAGTGTCATTGTCATCATCACACACAGTGTCATTGTCATCATCACACACAGTGTCATTGTCATCATCACACAGTGTCATTGTCATCATCACACACAGTGTCATTGTCATCATCACACGCAGTGTCATTGTCATCATCACACGCAGTGTCATTGTCATCATCACACACAGTGTCATTGTCATCATCACACGCAGTGTCATTGTCATCATCACACGCAGTGTCATTGTCATCATCACACACAGTGTCATTGTCATCATCACACGCAGTGTCATTGTCATCATCACACACAGTGTCATTGTCATCATCACACACAGTGTCATTGTCATCATCACACACAGTGTCATTGTCATCATCACACACAGTATCATTGTCACACACGGTGTCATCATCACACACAGTGTCATTGTCATCATCACACACAGTGTCATCATCACACACGGTGTCATCATCACACACGGTGTCATCGTCACACACAGTGTCATTGTCATCGTCACACACAGCGTCATAAGCTGGTACAGGCCGTGTGAGTGTGTGGTTCGTGTGTATACGAGCATGTTTGTGTGTCTGTGTGTGTATGCTGAGGCTGCCGTGCCTCAAATATTGGAAGAGATCGCCCCCTGTGAGTGGCTGGCTGAGGTGCCATCTGTTGAGGAAGTACTTAAGACGATCCGGAGTCTGAAACCAGGAAAGGCACCGGGCAGAGATGATCTCCCAAGCGAAATGCTGAGGGAGGGTGGCGTTTGTGCACAGATTGCCCTATATGACATCATAACAACAGTCTGGACCGCTGGACGGGTACCGCAGGATTGGAAAGATGCCCTGGTGGTCCCCCTCTTTAAGAAGGGGGACCGCACAGACTGTAACAACTACAGGGGCATCTCACTCCTCAGTGTGCCGGGAAAGGTCCTGGCAAAGATTATTCAACATCGCCTTGCTAGGCACGCTGAGGAGAGGCTTGCGGAACCCCAATGCGATTTCAGGAAAGGGCGGTCCTGCACAGATGCCATATTTTCTGTCCGTCTGCTACAGCAGAAGTGTAGGAAATTCCAACAAGACCTACATCTCTGCTTTATTGACCTGGTCAAGGCCTATGATGCCATCAGTAGGCCTGGGCTCTGGGTTGTTCTTCGTGCTTTCGGAGTCCCTGACCCTCTGCTCACGATCATTAAGGACCTTCATGATGGTGAGCGGGCCCGGGTAAAACTACGTGGCCGGGAGTCGGAGCCTTTCCCTGTACACCTTGGGGTGCGACAGGGATGTCCTCTGGCTCCCACATTATTTAACATCTACTTCGACTGCGTAGTTCGTGAAGCCTTCAATAGCTGTACCGGGGGAATTTCCATTTGGTACAGATATAATGGGAGGCTGATCGACGCCCGGGTGCGATCAAGAGATGGCTCCCTATTGGTCAACCACGTTATGTATGCCAATGATTTGGTAATAGCTCCTCATTCAGAAGAGGAGTTGGAGACGCTGCTGCTGAGACTGGAGCGTGCCACTAAGAGGTGGGGCCTTACCATCAGCCCCACCAAAACTAAGCACCTGCCTGGGTATTTTGTACCATCGGACACTCCACCCCCACAACTCCCAATCGGTGATGGGGAAGTTGTGGAGAGAGTGGAGAGTTTCCCATACCTGGGCAGTGTGCTTATGACCGGCTCCAGTTCAACAGCAGAGGTCTCACTCCGAATCAGTCGAGCGGCAATATATTTTCATCGGTTGCGTAACGCTGTGTGGAAGCTACCTGGTCTGTCGCTCCGTACGAAGCTTCAGGTCTTCTCGGCCACGGTCATTCCCTTCCTTCTCTACGCTTGCGAAACGTGGACCCCCCTAATGGAGCATCTTCGCCGGTTGGAAACATTTAGGCTGGCCTGCCTACGATCCATCCTGGGTTTAACCAGGCTGGATTGTGTGAGGAGCTCACAAATCCTTGAAAGATCTGGGCAAAGTCCCATCGGCGAGCTCCTCCGGCAGGCAAGGCTGCGTTGGCTGGGTCATGTAGCCCGCATGCCCAGCCACCACATGCCTAAACAGCTTTTGTTCGGGCGGATCGAGGGGGCTAAACGGGCTCGGCACGGGCTAGAGAGAGATGGAGTGATGTGGTACAGGAGGACGTGGAGCTGAGTGGACTTGCTGATGACTGGTACCAGCGGTGTCTTGATCGGCCTCTGGAGGAGGCTCGTGAAGGACGCTACTGGGTAGTTGGAGGCAGTCGCCCTCCAACAACAACGGAGGGCGGAGGAGCGACGCTCACAACAACGAGCGAAGCGCCTTGTGGCTAAAGCACAGCAAGTTGGCACATTAGGGGGCACAGGTGGTGCATCAGCCAGTCATCTCGGTCAGTCGACCCGTGGCACCTGGGTCTGCCCCGTGACCTCCTGCCAGGTGCACTTGGCCTGGCACAAGCGTCGTGGTGACGTTACCGCCACTTAGTGGCGAATGGCGGTTGTTGTTGTTGTTGTTGTTGTTGTGTGTATGTGTGGTACAGGGTGTGTGTGTGTGTGTGGTACTTGCTTTGAGTGTGAGGCTATAAGGGGGCGTCTGTCTTTGTGACCCCCCCCCCCCGCCCCGCCAGGTGGTGGCCATCAAGATGATCGACCTGGAGGCGGCTGAGGATGAGATCGAGGACATCCAGCAGGAGATCACGGTGCTGAGTCAGTGCGACTCTCCCTTCGTCACGCGCTACCACGGCTCCTACCTCAAGGTGCACACGCACGTACACACGCACGTACACACGCACGTACACACGCACGTACACACGCACGTACACACGCACGTACACACGCACATACACACGCGCACACACATGTACACACACATACGCGCACGCACATACACACGCACGTACACACGCAACCACCTGGCACTCCGCTCGTTGTTGTGAGCGTCGCTCCTCTGCCCTCCGATATTGTTGGAGGGCGACTGCCTCCAACTGCCCAGTAGCGTCCTTCACGAGCCTCCTCCACAGAGGCCGATCTTGACACCGCTTGTACCGGTCATCGGTAAGTCCGCTCAGCTCCACGTCCTCCTGTACCACATCACTCCATCTCTCTTCTCTAGCCCGCGCCGCGCCCGTGTAGCCCCCTCTATCCGGCCAAACAAAAGCTGTTTAGGCATGCGGTGGCTGAGCATGCGGGCTCCATGACCCAGCCAACGCAGCCTTGCCTGCCGGAGGAGCTCACCGATGGGACTTTGTTCAGATCTCACACAATCCAGCATGGTTAAACCCAGGATGGATCGTAGGCAGGCCAGCCTAAATGTATCTAACCGGCGAAGATGCTCCATTAGGGGGGGTCCACGTTTTACAAGCGTAGAGTGACTGTGGCCGAGAAGACCTGAAGCTTCGTGTGGAGTGACAGACCAGGTAGCTTCCACACAGCGTTACGCAACCGATGTAAAGATAATGCTGCTCGACTATCGGAGTGAGATCTCTGCTGTCAAACCGGAGCTGTTCATGAGCACACTGCCCAGGTATGAGGAACTCTCCACTCACCACAACTGCCCCATCACCGATTCAGAGTTGTGGGGGTGCAGTGTTTTATGGTACAAAACACATTCCTGCGGAGGGAGCTGGTAGGAACGTTGGGTTGCTTGGTCAATTGCCAGCCCCACCCTCCTCACCCTCCCCTCCCCACCCAGCCCCTCCCCACCCAGCCCCTCCCCACCCAGCCCCTCCCCACCCTCTTCTCCCCACCCAGCCCCTCCCTCCCTCCCCACCCAGCCCCTCCCTGCACGTCGGACACAATAATCCCCTGTGGGCTGGTGTAACCAGGAGGTTCCTACTAATAATACCCAGGCAGGTGCTTAGTTTTGGTGGGGCTGATGGTAAGGCCCCACCTCTTAGTGGCACGCTCCAGGTTCAGCAGAAGCGCCTCCAAATCCTCCTCTGAGTGAGCAGCAATTACCAGATCATCAGCATACATAACATGGTTGACCAATAAGGAGCCATCGCTTGACTGCACCCAGGTATCGATCAGCCTCCCGTTGTATCTGTACCAGATGGAAATTCCTCCAGTACAGCCATCGAAGGCTTCACGAACTACGTGGTCGAAATAGACACACACACAGACACAAACAGACACGCACACACAGATTCACAGATACACACACACAGACACACAGACACAAAGACAAAGATCCCCCGTGTAGCCTTAACAAACTGTACGGGCAAGTGCTGTTAGCGAGCACCTATGAAGGCCGGAAGGGCACACGAGGGGGTGGGTGGCCAGCACCACGCCTAGCCGCCTTTGTCTCCCCAATGGCGATGTTTACTACACACCACTACACCAGGTACTCATTTGAGGCCAAGTTGACCTACGGGAGGCCCAGGACCGGTTCAGATAATCGTCACCGGTGGTGTTGGCCGTGAGCGGGAATTGAACTTGGGTGGCCAGGTTCGTAGCGCAGCGTAGCGCTAATCACTACACTACCGCTCACCACACACATACTCACGTATACACACGCAAACACAGGCACCTACACGCACGTATGCACACACACGCACGCACCTACACGCACGTACGCACGCGCACGCACATCCGGGCGGTCCCCGATTGTACGACGTTACGATGCCGTTCCCAGTCTCACACCGGGGAGGGAGATGCCCCGAAGTTGAGCTGCGAACCAGGAATTCTTCCCACCGGAGCCCCCTCCTGCAGTTCCAGACTGTGTCACACACTGGGCAGCCTTGCCAGAGCTCCTCCTGCAGTTCCAGACTGTGTCACACACAGGGCAGCCTTGCCAGAACTCCTTCTGCAGTTTCAGACTGTATCACACACAGGGCAGCCTTGCCGGAACTCCCTCCTGCAGTTCCAGACTGTGTCACACACAGGGCAGGCTTGCCGGAACTCCTGCGGTTCCAGACTGTGTCACACACTGGGCAGCCTTGCCGGAACTCCTGCGGTTCCAGACTGTGTCACACACAGGGCAGCCTTGCCGGAACTCCTGCGGTTCCAGACTGTGTCACACACAGGGCAGCCTTGCCGGAACTCCTGCGGTTCCAGACTGTGTCACACACTGGGCAGCCTTGCCGGAACTCCTGCGGTTCCAGACTGTGTCACACACAGGGCAGCCTTGGCGGAACTCCCTCCTGCAGTTCCAGACTGTGTCACACACAGGGCAGCCTTGGCGGAACTCCTCCTGCAGTTCCAGACTGTGTCACACACAGGGCAGCCTTGGCGGAACTCCCTCCTGCAGTTCCAGACTGTGTCACACACAGGGCAGCCTTGCCAGAGCTCCCTCCTGCAGTTCCAGACTGTGTCACACACAGGGCAGCCTTGCCAGAGCTCCCTCCTGCAGTTCCAGGCTGTGTCACACACAGGGCAGCCTTGCCGGAACCACTCCTGCAGTTCCAGACTGTGTCACACACAGGGCAGCCTTGGCGGAACTCCCTCCTGCAGTTCCAGACTGTGTCACACACAGGGCAGCCTTGGCGGAACTCCCTCCTGCAGTTCCAGACTGTGTCACACACAGGGCAGCCTTGCCAGAGCTCCCTCCTGCAGTTCCAGACTGTGTCACACACAGGGCAGCCTTGCCAGAGCTCCCTCCTGCAGTTCCAGGCTGTGTCACACACAGGGCAGCCTTGCCGGAACCACTCCTGCAGTTCCAGACTGTGTCACACACAGGGCAGCCTTGCCGGAACCCCTCCTGCAGTTCCAGACTGTGTCACACACAGGGCAGCCTTGCCGGAACTCCCTCCTGCAGTTCCAGACTGTGTCACACACAGGGCAGCCTTGCCGGAGCTCCCTCCTGCAGTTCCAGACTGTGTCACACACAGGGCAGCCTTGCCGGAGCTCCTCATGCAGTTCCAGACTGTGTCACACACAGGGCAGCCTTGCCGGAGCTCCCTCCTGCAGTTCCAGACTGTGTCACACACTGGGCAGCCTTGCCGGAGCTCCTCATGCAGTTCCAGACTGTGTCACACACAGGGCAGCCTTGCCGGAGCTCCCTCCTGCAGTTCCAGACTGTGTCACACACAGGGCAGCCTTGCCGGAGCTCCTCATGCAGTTCCAGACTGTGTCACACACAGGGCAGCCTTGCCGGAGCTCCTCATGCAGTTCCAGACTGTGTCACACACAGGGCAGCCTTGCCGGAGCTCCTCATGCAGTTCCAGACTGTGTCACACACAGGGCAGCCTTGCCGGAACTCCTCCTGCAGTTCCAGACTGTGTCACACACAGGGCAGCCTTGCCGGAACTCCCTCCTGCAGTTCCAGACTGTGTCACACACAGGGCAGCCTTGCCGGAGCTCCTCATGCAGTTCCAGACTGTGTCACACACAGGGCAGCCTTGCCAGAGCTCCCTCCTGCAGTTCCAGACTGTGTCACACACAGGGCAGCCTTGCCGGAACTCCTCATGCAGTTCCAGACTGTGTCACGCACTGGGCAGCCTTGCCAGAGCTCCCTCCTGCAGTTCCAGACTGTGTCACACACAGGGCAGCCTTGCCGGAGCTCCTCCTGCAGTTTCAGGCTGTGTCACACACTGGGCAGCCTTGCCGGAACTCCCTCCTGCAGTTCCAGACTGTGTCACACACAGGGCAGCCTTGCCGGAACTCCTCATGCAGTTCCAGACTGTGTCACACACTGGGCAGCCTTACCGGAACTCCTCCTGCAGTTCCAGGCTGTGTCACACACAGGGCAGCCTTGCCGGAACTCCTCATGCAGTTCCAGACTGTGTCACACACAGGGCAGCCTTGCCGGAACTCCTCCTGCAGTTTCAGGCTGTGTCACACACTGGGCAGCCTTGCCGGAACCCCTCCTGCAGTTCCAGACTGTGTCACACACAGGGCAGCCTTGCCGGAACCCCTCCTGCAGTTCCAGACTGTGTCACACACAGGGCAGCCTTGCCGGAACCCCTCCTGCAGTTCCAGACTGTGTCACACACAGGGCAGCCTTGCCGGAACCCCTCCTGCAGTTCCAGACTGTGTCACACACAGGGCAGCCTTGCCGGAGCTCCCTCCTGCAGTTCCAGACTGTGTCACACACTGGGCAGCCTTGCCGGAGCTCCTCATGCAGTTCCAGACTGTGTCACACACTGGGCAGCCTTGCCGGAGCTCCTCATGCAGTTCCAGACTGTGTCACACACTGGGCAGCCTTGCCGGAGCTCCCTCCTGCAGTTCCAGACTGTGTCACACACTGGGCAGCCTTGCCGGAACTCCCTCCTGCAGTTCCAGACTGTGTCACACACTGGGCAGCCTTGCCGGAACTCTCTCCTGCAGTTCCAGACTGTGTCACACACAGGGCAGCCTTGCCGGAACTCCCTCCTGCAGTTCCAGACTGTGTCACACACAGGGCAGCCTTGCCGGAATTCCTCCTGCAGTTCCAGACTGTGTCACACACAGGGCAGCCTTGCCGGAACTCCCTCCTGCAGTTCCAGACTGTGTCACACACAGGGCAGCCTTGCCGGAATTCCTCCTGCAGTTCCAGACTGTGTCACACACAGGGCAGCCTTGCCGGAGCTCCTCATGCAGTTCCAGACTGTGTCACACACAGGGCAGCCTTGCCGGAACTCCCTCCTGCAGTTCCAGACTGTGTCACACACAGGGCAGCCTTGCCGGAGCTCCTCATGCAGTTCCAGACTGTGTCACACACAGGGCAGCCTTGCCAGAGCTCCCTCCTGCAGTTCCAGACTGTGTCACACACAGGGCAGCCTTGCCGGAACTCCTCATGCAGTTCCAGACTGTGTCACGCACTGGGCAGCCTTGCCAGAGCTCCCTCCTGCAGTTCCAGACTGTGTCACACACAGGGCAGCCTTGCCGGAGCTCCTCATGCAGTTCCAGACTGTGTCACACACAGGGCAGCCTTGCCGGAACTCCTCCTGCAGTTCCAGACTGTGTCACACACAGGGCAGCCTTGCCGGAACTCCCTCCTGCAGTTCCAGACTGTGTCACACACAGGGCAGCCTTGCCGGAGCTCCTCATGCAGTTCCAGACTGTGTCACACACAGGGCAGCCTTGCCAGAGCTCCCTCCTGCAGTTCCAGACTGTGTCACACACAGGGCAGCCTTGCCGGAACTCCTCATGCAGTTCCAGACTGTGTCACGCACTGGGCAGCCTTGCCAGAGCTCCCTCCTGCAGTTCCAGACTGTGTCACACACAGGGCAGCCTTGCCGGAGCTCCTCCTGCAGTTTCAGGCTGTGTCACACACTGGGCAGCCTTGCCGGAACTCCCTCCTGCAGTTCCAGACTGTGTCACACACAGGGCAGCCTTGCCGGAACTCCTCATGCAGTTCCAGACTGTGTCACACACAGGGCAGCCTTGCCGGAACTCCTCCTGCAGTTTCAGGCTGTGTCACACACTGGGCAGCCTTGCCGGAACCCCTCCTGCAGTTCCAGACTGTGTCACACACAGGGCAGCCTTGCCGGAACCCCTCCTGCAGTTCCAGACTGTCACACACAGGGCAGCCTTGCCGGAACCCCTCCTGCAGTTCCAGACTGTGTCACACACAGGGCAGCCTTGCCGGAACCCCTCCTGCAGTTCCAGACTGTGTCACACACAGGGCAGCCTTGCCGGAGCTCCCTCCTGCAGTTCCAGACTGTGTCACACACTGGGCAGCCTTGCCGGAGCTCCTCATGCAGTTCCAGACTGTGTCACACACTGGGCAGCCTTGCCGGAGCTCCTCATGCAGTTCCAGACTGTGTCACACACTGGGCAGCCTTGCCGGAGCTCCTCATGCAGTTCCAGACTGTGTCACACACTGGGCAGCCTTGCCGGAGCTCCTCATGCAGTTCCAGACTGTGTCACACACAGGGCAGCCTTGCCGGAGCTCCTCATGCAGTTCCAGACTGTGTCACACACTGGGCAGCCTTGCCGGAGCTCCTCATGCAGTTCCAGACTGTGTCACACACTGGGCAGCCTTGCCGGAACTCCCTCCTGCAGTTCCAGACTGTGTCACACACTGGGCAGCCTTGCCGGAACTCCTCATGCAGTTCCAGACTGTGTCACACACAGGGCAGCCTTGCCGGAGCTCCTCATGCAGTTCCAGACTGTGTCACACACAGGGCAGCCTTGCCGGAACTCCCTCCTGCAGTTCCAGACTGTGTCACACACAGGGCAGCCTTGCCGGAACTCCTCCTGCAGTTCCAGACTGTGTCACACACTGGGCAGCCTTGCCGGAACTCCCTCCTGCAGTTCCAGACTGTGTCACACACAGGGCAGCCTTGCACACAATCGATGAACGCTCATCTCTGCCCGGCGCTTTCAACTGATCCCGGACTCCGAGTCGCCGCTTCGTGCGTCCTCAGCAGACTGCGTATCAGCCGGCCACTCCTCCAGTAGTTGAACTGTAAAACTAAAGATGATCAGCGCGCCCCTTGTTTTCCGGCTGCTTCCAACACTTATCCGGCTGCGTTCCTGGGTCTGATCCGGCAAAACCGCTCCAAAGATTGTAACCAGATCGGGCGATCGGCACCACAAAGTAGCTCCACTTGTATTCTTGGTTCTTTCGGTAAAGTCACGTAGAAGGGAAATAATAAAATAATAAAAATATATAAAACAATAAAATTCTCATGACGTTTCGACTTGTGAGAATTGTATTGTTTTATATTTGTATTATTTTATTATTTCCCTTCTACGTGATGACTTTACCGAAAGAACCAAGAATATGAATCCCTGCAGTCACGAAAGCTTTGAATCACAAAGTAGCTCCACTTGGTTTCAGTGTTGAATATTACGTAGAGCACAGTGGAGTCCCTCTGAACGAGCACCCCTCGCTTAACGACGGGCGTCCATATAGCCCAATGTGTAATGTATAGTGTAGTGTAAAGTAGCGTAGTGTCTAGTAGTGTAGTGTATAGTGTAGTGTGCAGTGTGTAGTGTAAAGTAGTGTAGTGTATAGTGTAGTGTGTAGTGTATAGTAGATTCCAAGAACACAGGATGAGATGTTACTATCCTTTGTGCAAGCACTTCCAAGAGTTCATGAACAGTGAGCCTGGTGACATTTGGGGAGCGCATCGTCAGTAGTGTACCTTTGGTTCCTAGGGTGTTTCGGCCTTTCACACGATACACCCTCCCCAAAGGCGGCCAGCGACAGGGTGATCAATCCTACGCTTGCGTCCCATTCCCAATTAGTCATAGGAGTTGCCTTGTTGTTGATAGCCAACATCCCATGGGACTATGCATGGCAGGGGCGTCCTCCTCCCTGAGTCAAGCATTGTTGACCGCATACCTCCTGGCCCTCTCACTTCGGGGCCCAGCTGGGGTCTTTCCTCTTCATCCAGAGCCACTGACTGCTGCCTTCTGCCGCCTCCGATATGGCTCTGATTGCCGAACGCTGGCTCTGGCCCTTAATTCCCAGGTCTCTAAGCAGTCTGGTTGTAGATGTTGCCACAAAACCTCTGCAGCCCACCTCCACTGGTCTCATCTACTGAGTCCTCCCAGGGTACTGTGAGCTCAATGAGTAGTGTAAAGTAGCGTAGTGTCTAGTAGTGTAGTGTATAGTAGCGTAGTGTATAGTGTAGTGTGCAGTGTGTAGTGTAAAGTAGTGTAGTGTATAGTGTATTGTAGTGCAGTTTATTGTAGTGCAGTGTATAGTAGTGCTGTGTATAGTGTATAGTAGTGTAGTGTATAGTAGTGCAGTGCATAGTACTGTAGTGTATAGTGTAGTGCATAGTACTATAGTGTATAGTAGCGTAGTGTATAGTAGTGTAGTGTATATATTGGTGTATAGTAGTGCAGTGCATAGTACTGTAGTGTATAGTGTAGTGTATAGTAATGTAGTGTATAGTAGTGCAGTATATATTTTAGTGCAGTGTATAGTAGTTTAGTGCAGTGTATAGTAGTTTAGTGTAGTGCAGCGGTCGGGAACCTATGGCTCGCGAGCCATATATGGCTCTTCCGGTGACTGCATATGGCTCCCAGACAATTTTGAGTTGAAAAAAATAACAATAAAAAAATAAAAATAAAATCAGTTTGGAACTGATTTTAAAATACTTGTGATATTGCTTAATAATACTGTGCCATTTTAAAGTAAACAGAAATTAGTTTTGAAGATAAAATTTCTCGGGTCACGGGTCCCGTGACCAGAAGTCGCATTAAAAGTAAGACAAATTTAATTTATTTTACGTTTAAAAATACTATATGGATCTCAATGAAATATATTTAGAAATATTTGGCTTTTATGGCTCTCCCAGTCAAAAAGGTTCCCGACCCCTGGTGTAGTGTATAGTAGTGCAGTGTATAGTAGTGTAGTGTATAGGGTAGTGTAGAGTGTAGTGTACAGTAGAACCCTTCTTAACGACCCACAGAGATTGACCCCACGACTTCCTGTACATCAGGCAAGGTGGTTAGCGCCTCTTGGCCACCGCAACGATGATGATGAGAGATCGCCCTACACCCCCAAGGCCTCAAATACAACGCTCAGCAAACCTGCAGGACAGTTCCCGGGGGGTCGGACATCGGATCACCGTTCTTTCTCTTAAATTTGGACCACGGCCAATGATGTTGATGATGACGATGTTGATGTTGATGACGATGACGATGATGACGATGGTGACGATGGTGACGATGGTGACGATGTCGATGGTGACGTTGATGACGATGTCGTTGATGATGACGATGTTGTTGATGACGTCGATGATGAAGACGATGTTGACGATGCTGACGATGTTGATGACGACAATGTTGATGATGTTGACGACGATGTTGACGATGATGTTGACGACGATGTTGACGATGATGTTGACGACGATGTTGACGATGATGTTGACGACGATGTTGACGATGATGTTGACGACGATGTTGACGATGATGTTGACGACGATGTTGACGATGATGTTGACGACGATGTTGACGATGATGTTGACGATGATGTTGACGATGATGATGATGTTGACGATGTTGACGATGCATGTGTGTTGGTGTGTGTCTGTGTGCAGGACAGCAAGCTGTGGATCATCATGGAGTACTTGGGCGGTGGCTCTGCCCTTGACCTGGTAAGTTCGCGTGTTCCTGTGCGTGTGTGTGTGTCTGCGTGCGTCTTTGTGCGTGCGTGTGTCTGTGTGCGTGCATGCGTCTTTGTGCGTGCGTGTGTCTGTGTGCGTGCATGTTCCTGTGTGTGCGTGCGTCTTTGTGTTTAGGCGTGCATTTTTGCTGTGTGTGTGTGTTTGCGTGGTTTGTGTGCTGTGTGTGTTTGCGTGTTGAGTGTGCGTGTGTGCGTCTGTGTGTGCGTGCGTGTGTCAGCGGTGAGCGCGCTGAGTAGCGGTAGTGCAGTGCTTGGTGCGCTGCGCTGTGAACCCGACGACCCGAGTTCGATTCCCGCTCGCGGCCAACACCGGTGACGATTGCCTGAACCGGTCCTGGGCCTCCCCTAGGCCGACTCGGCCTCAAATGAGTACCCGGTGCCGTGTGTAAACACATCGCCACTAGGGAGACAAATGCGGCCAGGCGTGGTCCTGGCAACCCCCACCCCCTCGTGTGCCGTGCCGGCCTTCATCGGTGCTACTCGCTAACCGCACTTGCCCCAGCAATCTGTAAAGGCTACACGGGGGATCTTTATCTTTGTGACGTGCGTAGCTGCAGGCCGGCTCGCTGGAGGAGTACCACATCGCCACGATCCTCCGCGAGATACTCAAAGGGCTCGAGTACCTTCACTCGGAGAGGAAGATTCACAGGGACATCAAAGGTACCCCGTGGCAGACAGGGGAACCACAGCTTCACTCAGAGAGCCATAGACTCACTCACACAGAGACCCACAGACTCGCTACACAGAGACCCACAGACTCACACAGAGACCCATAGACTCACTCGCACAGAGACCCATAGACTCACTCACACAGAGACCCATAGACTCACTCACACAGAGACCCATAGACTCACTCACACAGAGACCCATAGACTCACTCACACAGAGACCCATAGACTCACTCACACAGAGACCCATAGACTCACTCACACAGAGACCCACAGACTCACTCACACAGAGACCCACAGACTCACTCACACAGAGACCCACAGACTCACTCACACAGAGACCCATCGACTCACTTACACAGAGACCCATCGACTCACTCACACAGAGACCCATCGACTCACTCACACAGAGACCCACAGACTCACTCACACAGAGACCCATCGACTCACTTACACAGAGACCCATAGACTCATCACACAGAGACCCATAGACTCACTCACACAGAGACCCACAGACTCACTCACACAGAGACCCACAGACTCACTCACACAGAGACCCATAGACTCACTCACACAGAGACCCATAGACTCACTCACACAGAGACCAACAGACTCACTCACACAAAGACCCATAGACTCACTCACACAGAGACCAACAGACTCACTCACACAGAGACCTATAGACTCACTCACACAGAGACCCACAGACTCACTCACACAGAGACCCATAGACTCACTCACACAGAGACCCATAGACTCACTCACACAGAGACCAACAGACTCACTCACACAAAGACCCACAGACTCACTCACACAGAGACCAACAGACTCACTCACACAGAGACCCATAGAATCACTCACACAGAGACCCATAGACTCACTCACACAGAGACCCATAGACTCACCACACAGAGACCCATAGACTCACTCACACAGAGACCCATAGACTCACTCACACAGAGACCCATAGACTCACTTGCACAGACCCATAGACTCACTCACACAGAGATCCATAGACTCACTCACACAGAGACCCATAGAATCACTCACACAGAGACCCATAGACTCACTCAAACAGTGACCCATAGACTCACTCACACAGAGACCCATAGACTCACTCACACAGAGACCCACAGACTCGCTACACAGAGACCCATAGACTCACTCACACAGAGACCCATAGACTCACTCACACAGAGACCCATAGACTCGCTCACACAGAGACCCACAGACTCACACAGAGACCCATAGACTCTCACACAGAGACCCATCGACTCACTCACACAGAGACCCATAGACTCACTCACACAGAGACCCACAGACTCACTCACACAGAGACCCACAGACTCACTCACACAGAGACCCATAGACTCACTCACACAGAGACCCATAGACTCACTCACACAGAGACCAACAGACTCACTCACACAAAGACCCATAGACTCACTCACACAGAGACCAACAGACTCACTCACACAGAGACCTATAGACTCACTCACACAGAGACCCACAGACTCACTCACACAGAGACCCATAGACTCACTCACACAGAGACCCATAGACTCACTCACACAGAGACCAACAGACTCACTCACACAAAGACCCACAGACTCACTCACACAGAGACCCACAGACTCCCCCCGCGTCTCCCCCCGTGTCTCCGTGCCGCAGCTGCCAACGTGCTGCTGTCGGAGCAGGGCGACGTGAAGCTGGCCGACTTTGGGGTGGCCGGGCAGCTCACGGAGACGCAGGCCAAGCACACGTTCGTGGGCACGCCCTTCTGGATGGCCCCCGAGGTCATCAAGCAGGCGGCCTACGACGCCAAGGTGCTCCCCCCCCCCCCCCCACCGCCCACCCGCTCACGTGGCCACCGCCCCCTTCCGCTTGTCGCTCCTCGTGTCGCCCCTCGTGTGTGTGTGGCACCCCTGTTCATGTGTCACCCCGTGTGTGGCACCACGTGTCATTCCGCGTGTCATTCCGCATGTCACCCCACGTGTGTGTGACAAACCGTGTGTCTCCTTCCCGTGTCTCATCCGTGTCACTTGTGTGTCTCTCCGTGTCTCCCCCGTGTCTCCCTCGTGTCTCCCCCGTGTCTCCACATGTCACGCCTTGTCTCCCCTGTGTCTCCCCCCAACCCTCCCCCGTATGCCTCCCCACGTCCCACCCATCACCCCCCCCATACCACATCCTCATCCACGTCTCCCATCGTCTGACCCCCCCCTACCCCCCCCGTGCCCCCTCCCCCGTGTCCCCAGGCGGACATCTGGTCCCTGGGCATCACGGCGATCGAGCTGGCGCAGGGGGAGCCGCCGCACGCGGACCAGCACCCCATGAAGGTGCTCTTCGTGATCCCCACGTGCGAGCCGCCCACCCTGCAAGGCGGCTACAGCCGCGTGTTCAAGGACTTCACGCAGACCTGTCTCAACAAGGACCCGCAATACGTACGCGCACGCACACGCACGCTTACACACACACACGCAAAGACACAGGTCCCCCGCGTGGCCTGAACGGACTGTAGGGGCAAGTGCTGTTAGCGAGCGCCTGCGACGGGCGTAACGGCACACGAGGGGGAGGGTGGCCAGCACCAGTCAACGCAGCCTCGCCTGCCGGAGGAGCTCACCGATGGGACTTTGTCCAGATCTTTCAAGGATTTGTGAGCTCCTCACAGCCTGCAGGTTAAACCCAGGATGGATCGTAGGCAGGCCAGCCTAAATGTTTCTCACCGGCGAAGATGTTCCATTAGGGGCGGGGTCCACGTTTCCAAATCGTAGATAAGGGAGGGAATGACCGTGGCCGAGAAGACTTGAAGCTTCGTGCGGAGTGACAGATCAGGTAGCTTCCACACAGCGTCACGCAGCCGATGTAAAGATAATGCCGCTCGACTGATTCGGAGTGAGACCTCTGCTGTCAAACCGGAGCCAGTCATAAGCACACTGCCCAGGTATGGGAAACTCTCCACTCTCTCCACAACTGCCCCATCAGCAATGGGGAGGTGAGGGGGTGGAGTGTTTGATGGCGCAAAATCCCCATGCAGATACGTATAGATACAATGACAAAGATCCCCCGTATAGCCTTAATGTACTGTTGGAGCAAGTGCTGCATGTGTCCATCTCCGTGCGTCTGTCTCTCTGTTCTTCTCCCACCGTCTCTGTGCCTCCACCTGTCCGTGTCCCGTCTCAGCGGCCGTCTGCGAAGGAGCTCCTGCGTCACCGCTTCCTGGCACAGAAGGCCAAGCGCACGTCGTGCCTCACGGAGCTCATCGACCGCTACCGCCGCTGGAGACTCGAGAAACCCGACGACAGCTCCGATTCAGAGTGAGGGGTCACGCGGGGGTCACGTGGGGGTCACGCGGCGGGGGTCACGCGGGGGGAGAGACGCGGGGGAGAGACGCGGGGGGAGAGACGCGGGGGGAGAGACGCGGGGGGAGAGACGCGGGGGGAGAGACGCGGGGGGAGAGACGCGGGGGGGGGAGACGCGGGGGGGGGAGACGCGGGGGGGGGAGACGCGGGGGGGGGAGACGCGGGGGGGGGAGACGCGGGGGGGGGAGACGCGGGGGGGGGAGACGCGGGGGGGGGAGACGCGGGGGGGGGAGAGACGCGGGGGGGGAGACGCGGGGGGGGAGACGCGGGGGGGGAGACGCGGGGGGGGAGACGCGGGGGGGGAGACGCGGGGGGGGGAGACGCGGGGGGAGAGACGCGGGGGGGGGAGACGCGGGGGGGGAGACGCGGGGGGGGGAGACGCGGGGGGGGAGACGCGGGGGGGGAGACGCGGGGGGGGAGACGCGGGGGGGGAGACGCGGGGGGGGAGACGCGGGGGGGGAGACGCGGGGGGGGGAGACGCGGGGGGGGGAGACGCGGGGGTGAGAGACGCGGGGGGGGAGACGCGGGGGGGGAGACGCGGGGGGGGGAGACGCGGGGGGGGGAGACGCGGGGGGAGAGACGCGGGGGGAGACGCGGGGGGAGACGCGGGGGGAGAGACGCGGGGGGGGAGACGCGGGGGGGGAGACGCGGGGGGGGAGACGCGGGGGGGGAGACGCGGGGGGAGATGTGCCGGGACACGCGGGGACGTGGAGGGGGAGACGTGTGAAGACACGGAGACACGCGGGGACAATGGGGTGATAGTAGCAGGGATGATTATAATGATGGTGGTGGTGGTAGGGATGCTTGTAATGATGATGGTGGTGGTGGCAGAGATGATTTTAATGATGGTGGTGGTGGTGGTGGCAGAGATGATTGTATTGATGATGATGGTGGCAGAGATGATTGTAATGATGATGATGGTGGTGGTGGTGGTAGGGATGCTTGTAATGATGATGGTGGTGGTGGTGGTAGGATGATTGTAATGATGATGATGGTGGTGGTGGTGGCAGGATGATTGTATTGATGATGATGGTGGCAGAGATGATTGTAATGATGATGATGCTGGTGGTGGTGGTAGGGATGCTTGTAATGATGATGGTGGTGGTGGTGGTAGGATGATTGTAATGATGATGATGGTGGTGGTGGTGGCAGGATGATTGTAATGATGATGGTGGTGGTGGTGGTAGGGATGCTTGTAATGATGATGATGGTGGTGGTGGTGGTGGCAGGATGATTGTAATGATGATGGTGGTGGTGGTGGTGGTAGGGATACTTGTAATGATGATGGTGGTGGTGGTGGTAGGGATGCTTGTAATGATGATGGTGGTGGTGGTGATGGTGGTGGTGGTAGGATGATTGTAATGATGATGGTGGTGGTGGTGGTCGTGGTAGGGATGATGAGGATCAGCCCGACGGCTGTGAGGCCGACAAGGCGGAGCCTCCCCACTGGGACGACACGGACGGCAGCGGCACCGAGAAGATCCTTCCGGCGGAAGACGCGCAGGTCCGCTCAGCCTGAAACACGCACGTGTGTGTGAATTGGTGTGTGTGTGAATTGGTGTGTGTGTGAATTGGTGTGTGTGAGAGAGTGAGAGAGAGGGTGGTTGTGTGTGAGAGAGAGTGTGAGATCAGCTCAATAACAACGGTCGGAGGCTGCTAGACTCTTGTGCAGCCCATGGGCTTGTAATTACCAACACGCTGTTCCAGCATCGGCACATCCACACAACATCATGGATGCATGCCGGGTCCAAGCAAGAACATCTGCTGGACTACATAGTGACGGACCAGCGGATGCTGACCCATGTCCTTGACACCAGGACCTACCGCGGAGCTGACCTGCCCACTGACCATCGACTTGTCATCTATAAGATGCGCCTGCCATTCTTCCACTCTGGTGGTGGGTGGACACCCAGGACCCCATTCAAACCCACAGTGGCCTGGTCTCGGCTAGCTGATTAAAGTGGCAAGCGAGAATTTAATCATCGCTTGCAGCTGGGGTTGACATCGTCCCCCACTCCTGATGCCGAAGGGAAATGGGTGAGGTTTAGGACTGTGGCTCATGTAGCTGCAATGACTGCTTAGGGTACGTGGTCCAAACCTCCCCAGAGACCCTGGCTGACAGAGGAGGTGTTCAGGCTGGCTGAGAAAAAGCGACAGGCCCACCCATCGGCTACAGCATTCCATGTCAGAGAATGAGGAGGCTTACCGCAGCCTTCACTCGGAGGTTCGGAGAGCCGTGAGGCGCTGCAAGGATGGTTGGTGGTCGTGCGTTGCTGAAGAGATGAAATCTGTCTCAGTGGCCTGCGATCACAAATCGCTCTAATTCCATCAAAAAAGTAACTTGCAGCACCACACCTATTACCATTGTGCACAGACTGCCCTACATGACATCATAACAACAGTCTGGGCCACTGGACGGATTCTGCAAGATTTGAAGGATGCCCTGGTGGCCCCCGCTTTAAGAAGGGGACCGCACAGACTGTAACAATTACAGGGGCATCTCACTCCTCAGTGTGCCGGGAAAGGTCCTGGCAAGGATTATTCAACATCACCTGAGGAGAGGCTTGCGGAGCCCAATGCGGTTTCAGGAAAGGGCGGTCCTGCACAGATGCCATATTTTCCGTCCGTCTGCTACAGCAGAGGAATAGGGAATTCCGACAAGACCTACATCTCTATACTCTTACCTACATCTCTGCTTTATTGACCTGGTCAAGGCCTGTGATACCATCAGTAGGCCTGGGCTCTGGGTTGTTCTTCGTGCTTTCGGAGTCCCTGTCTCTCTGCTCATGATGGTGAGCGGGCCTGGGTAAAACTACGTGGCCGGGAGTCGGAGCCATTCCCTGTTCACCTTGGCGTGCGACAAGGATGTACTCTGGCTCCCACATGATTTAACATCTATTTCGACCACATAGTTCGTGAAGCCTTCGATGGCTGTACTGGAGGTATAACCATCTGGTACAGATATAATGGGAGGTTGATCGATGCCCAGGTGTGGTCAAGGGATGGCTCCCTATTGGTCAACCATGTTATGTATGCCGATGATCTGGTGATTGAGTTGGAGGTGCTGCTGCTGAACCTGGAGCATGCCACTAAGAGGTGGGGCCTTACCATCAGTTCCAGCAAAACTAAGCACCTGCCTGGGTATTTTGTACCATCAGACACTCCACCCCCACAACTCCCAATTGGCAATAGGGCAGTTGTGTAGAGAGTGGAGAGTTTCCCATACCTGGGCAGTGTGCTTATGACCGGTTCTGGTTTGACAGCAGAGGTCTCACTCCGAATCAGTCGAGCGGCATTATCTTTTCATCGGCTGCGTAACGCTGTGTGGAAGCTACCTGGTCTATCGCTCCGCACGAAGCTTCAGGTTTTTATTCTTTGGGTCTTTTGGTAAAGTCACGTAGATAGGTTCAAAGAAAATAACAAAAAACTACGACGTTTCGATCGCCGCAACACAAGCGGTCCTATCTACGTGACTTTGCCAAAAGACCCAAAGAATATGAATTCCTGCAGTTATAAAAGCTTAAAGTCAAGAAGCTTCAGGTCTTCTCGGCCACGGTCATTCCCTCCGTTCTCTACGCTTGCGAAACGTGGACCCCACTAATGGAGCATCTTCGCCGGTTAGAAACATTTAGGCTGGCCTGCCTATGATCCATCCGGGGTTTAACCTGCAGGCTGGATTGTGTGAGGAGCTCACAAATCCTTGAAAGATCTGGACAAAGTCCCATCGGTGAGCTCCGGCTGGCTGGGTCATGTCGCCCACCGCATGCCTAAACAGCTTCGGTGTGGCTGCATAGAGGGGGCTAAACGGGCATGGCAGGGACTAGAGAAGAGAGATGGAGTGATGTGGTACAGGAGGACGTGGGAGCTGAGTGGACTTGCCGATGACCGGTACCAGCGGTGTCAAGATCGGCCTCTGTGGAGGAGGCTCGTGAAGGACGCTACTGGGCAGTTGGAGGCAGTCGCTCTCCAACAACAACGGAGGGCGGAGGATCGACGCTCACAACAACGAGCGGAGCGTTGGGCGGCTTAAACGCAGCAAGTTGGCACAGTAGGGGGCACAGGTAGTGCATCAGCCAGTCATCTCGGTCATCTCGGTCAGTCGACCCATGGCACCTGCCTGGGGTCTGTCCTGTGACCTCCTGCCAGCGGGCATTCGACACTTCACGTGGCCTTATAGTGCACATAGCCTGGCACAGGTGACGTGGCGACATCACTGTGGCGAATGGCGGTTGTTGTTGTTGTTGTGTGTGACGTGCTCGCCCTAACAGTCTGTTAAAGCTCCACGGTTGACCTTTGTCTTCTCTGCGTGATAATTCAGCCTGAAGAGAAACCGGTGGTACGGCAACCAAAGTCTGAGAGTTTGTACAGCCTGCTCACCCCGCTATTCACACAGGTGAGACACGGCCACCGTGACCCCACAAACATGGCCACTGTGAACTCACCAACACGGCCACTGTGACCCCACCAACACGGCCACTGTGAACTCACCAACACGGCCACTGTGAACTCACCAACACGGCCACTGTGACCCCACCGACACGGCCACTGTGACCTCACCAACATGGCCACTGTGACCTCACCAACATGGCCACCGTGAACCCACCAACACGGCCACTGTGAACTCACCAACACGGCCACTGTGAACTCACCAACATGGCCACTGTGACCCCACCAACATGGCCACTGTGACCTCACCAACACGGCCACTGTGAACTCACCAACACGGCCACTGTGAAGCCACCAACATGGCCACTGTGACCCCACCAACACGGCCACTGAACTCACCAACACGGCCACTGTGACCCCACCAACATGGCCACTGTGACCTCACCAACACGGCCACTGTGAACTCACCAACACGGCCACTGTGAAGCCACCAACATGGCCACTGTGACCCCACCAACACGGCCACTGTGAAGCCACCAACATGGCCACTGTGACCCCACCAACATGGCCACTGTGACCTCACCAACACGGCCACTGTGAACTCACCAACACGGCCACTGTGAAGCCACCAACATGGCCACTGTGACCCCACCAACACGGCCACTGTGAACTCACCAACACGGCCACTGTGAACTCACCAACACGGCCACTGTGAACCCACCAACATGGCCACTGTGACCCCACCAACATGGCCACTGTGAACCCACCAACATGTGCACGTGTGTGTGTGTGTGCGCGCGCGCGTGTCAGTGTGTACGTGTAGGAGCGGTAGTGTAGTGGTTAGTGCTACGCTGTGCTACGAACGCAGCCACCCGAGTTCGATACCCGCTCATGACCAACATCAGCGAGGATTATCTGAACCGGTTCTGGGCCTCCCCTAGGTCGACTCAAATGAGTAGCTGGTGTAGCGATGTGCAATAAACATCGCCCCTGGGGAGACAAAGGCGGCCGGGCGTGATGCTGGCCACCTCCTCCCTCGTGTGCCGTGCCAGCCTTCATAGGTGCTCGCTAACAGCACTTGCCTCTACAGTCTGTTAATAAGGCTATATGGGGGATATTTGTCTTTGTAGGTGCGTGCGTGTGTGCGTGGTGTGTGTGTGTGTGTGCGTGGTGCGTGTTTGTGTGCGTGCGTGTGTAAGTGCGTAATGTGTGTGTGTGCGTGGTGCGTGTGTGTGTGCGTGCGTAAGTGCGTAATGTGTGTGTGGTGTATGTGTGTGTGGGGTGCATGTGTACGTATGTAACGTGTGTGTGTGGTGTGTGTAACGTGTGTGCGTGTGTTTAATGTGTGTGTGTGTGTGTGTAATGTGTGTAGTGTGTCTGGTGTGTGCGTGTTAGTGTGGTGTGTGTGTGTAATGTGTGGCGTGTGTACGTGTGTGTAATGTGTACGTATGTAACGTGCGTGTGTAACGTGTGTGGTGTGCGTGCGTAACGTGTGCGTGTGTGTGTGTAATGTGTGTGTGGTGCGTGTGTACGTGTTTATAACGTGTGTGTAATGTGTGGCGTGTGTGTGTGTAGCTGAGAGACCGGAGGGCGCGCACGGGCGAGGCTGTGGGGGCGCTGGAGGAGCTCCTCGTGGCGTTCTCCCTCGCCGAGGAGGCGTCCCCCGGGATCGCCGACCGCCTCGTGTCGGCCATCGTGTCCCGCGTGCACAGGTACACACACACACACACAGGTACACACACACACACACAGGTACACACACACACAGGTACACACACACACAGGTACACACACACAGGTACACACACGCGCACGGACACATGTACACACGCGTTCACATGTACACACACACATGTACACACACGTTCACATGTACACACACACAGGTACACACACACACACACGTACACACACACACACACACGTACACACACACACACACGTACACACACACAGACACACACACACACGTACACACACACACAGGTACACACACACGTACACAGGTACATACACACACAGGTACACACACACACACAGGTACACACGTACACACACACAGGTACACACACACACGTACACATACACACACAGGTACACACACACACACAGGTACACACACAGGTACACACACACGTACACACAGGTACACACACACACAGGTACACACAGGTACACACACACAGGTACACACACACACAGGTACACACACACGCAGGTAGGCACACACACACACAGGTACACACACACACGTACACATGTACACACACACGTTTACAGGTACACACACGTACACAGGTACACACGCGTTCACATGTACACACACACACGGACACACACGTTCACATGTACACACACGCAGACACACACACACAGACACACGTACACACGCACGGATATACACATATGCACGTACACACGTCCAAGTGTACACGTACACACGCACGCAGGGACACGTAAACACACAACAATATAAGTGCACACACACATATACGTACACACACATATACGTACACATATGCATGGACGCACGCATGTACACGTACACATGTACACGTGCACACGTACGCACGGACAAACGCACGTACACACGCACGCGTGTACACATGTATGTGTGTGTTGGCACAGTAGGGGGCACAGGTGGTGCATCAGTCAGCCATCTCAGTCAGTCGACCCGTGCCAACTGCTGGGTCTGCCCCGTGACCTCCTGCCAGCGGGCGTTCGACACTTCACGTGGCCTTAACGTGCACCTAGCCTGGCACAAGCGCCGTGGTGATGTTACCGCCCCTGAGAGAGGGATGGCGGTTGTTGTGTGAGTGGAGCGGTAGTGTAGTGGTTAGCACTACGCTGCGCTATGAACCTGGCGACCTCGGTTCGATTCCCGCTCACTGCCAACACCACTGACGATTATCTGAACCGGTCCTGGGCTTCCTCTAGGTCGACTCAGCCTCACATTAGTACCTGATGCGGTGTGTAGTAAACATCGCCACTGGGGAGACAAAGGTGACCAGGCGTGGTGCTGGCCACCCACCCCCTCGTGTACCGTGCCGGCCTTCATAGGTGCTACTCGCTAACAGCACTTGCCCCTACAGGCTATACGGGGGGTCTTTGTCTTTGTAGGTGTGTGTACGTGTGTGTGTGTAGGCACACTCACTCCTACACACACAAAAAGTTCTGTTAGCGAGCACTCTCTCACACACACACTCACTCATACACACACACTCACTCACACACACTCACTCATACACACAACAACCGCCATTCGCCACTAAGTGGCGGTGACGTCACCACGACGCTTGTGCCAGGCCATACACACACACACTCATACACAAAGATAAAAGAGAAAGATCCCCCGTGTAGCCTTAACAGACTGTAGGGGCAAGTGCTGTTAGCGAGCACCTATGAAGGCCGGCACAGCACACGAGGAGGTGGGTGGCCAACACCACGCCCGGCCGCCTTTGTCTCCCTAGCGGCGATGTTTACTACACACCGCATCAGGTACTAATGTGAGGCCGAGTCGACACACACTCACTCATACATACACACTCACTCTCATACACACACACAC